CACCGTGAGCCCCGTAGGCGGCCGCCCCGACGGCCGCAGCCCCGCTAAGCGCCCCGAGCCGTCGGAAAAGCTGCCCGCTCGCAAGCGCCATCCTCGCCTTGATTAGAAGGACTTCGGCACTTCCGACTTTCAGCGCGCTCTAGCCAATCAGCGCCTCCGGCACCTCGTTTAATATGCAGCCCCACCCTCTTTTATGCCTACCGCGCGCGTTAACCAATCAGAGCTCCCACCACCTTATTTAATATGTAGTTCCGCCCATCTTTTTGCCTGCCGCGCGCGTCTTAGCCAATCATAGTCCATCTCCGCCTCCTCCCGGCTTGTTGCTCCCCCCCCTTCGCCGGGTTCGGAAAACCAATGGCCACTGGCGTTATGTGATGTAGGACGCAGTAGGGTTGGGGAACGCGGGAGCTGTCCAATTACAAAACAGGTTCTCCCTCCTCCTTTCAAGTTTAATTTGCATCTGAGAAGCCAATCAGACTTCAGTCGCCAATCAAATGGGGAAGGGTAGGCGGGAGCGGTGTGGAGAAGAGGCACTGCCCCCTATACAGGGGGCAGTGGAAGAGGGCAATGGCAGCCAATCTAATCGCAAAACTGAAGCCTTTTTTGTATGCGTTGCTATTATAATCTTTACGACACATATCCGTATGGAGCCGTGCCAACCTCTCTTAATCCCGCCTCTTTCTCAGTTGCATTTACGGTAACCAGGCACCTCTCTAGCGCCCCCTGCTGCGACTGTGGGCTCAAAGGGGGAGAGAGGCTTCCCCGGCTGTTCCCTACGATGCCTCTCCTCCCTCCCTTCCTGCAGCTTTGGCTCTTCTATGGCCGCCCCCTCCGCCCCCCTCCTACACTGTCGCTTTTCATTTTCCAAAGGAATCGGGCTGCATTTCAGATTTTAAAAGGCGAGCGGAATCCGGGGCGATGGTCTTGCAGGCCTCGCCTTCCTCACACGCCTTGCCCGACAAAGAATTAGAGAGATAAATAATTAAGACTCTGATGACAAAGCTTGTATTTACCGCTTAGCACCACCAGGGGGAAGCAAAGGCGCAGCAATGGCCTGCCTTCGAATTCGTGCTTCAACGCGGGTTGGGGGGGGGGGGGGGGTCTCTCTGCCCCCAGCTGCGCCCGCGCCCCCTCCTCCTTACAGACCTCCCCCGTATCATGCCGGCCTCAACGCTACGCTGCAGCGCCTTCAGTTAACCCTTCATGGGCCAAGGGCCGCGTTGAGTTCCCGGTGTTGCAGGCGCGACCCGGAAAAGACATGCACTTACACTTGACAGAATATTCCACCCGTGTCAAAATCAGAGGCGCCAAAGTGGGTTCATTGTTGGGGTTTAATCGATCTGCTAATGGAATGAGCCGATTTGGGGGAAAGAACCATGCTTGGGACACTTTCACCCAGCCCCCCTCCGACAGCACAGGCGCTCCTCCCTTCCTCCGTCTTACCTGCACAACAGCCCTGTAGTGTAGGACTGATCTGAACTGTCTGTACGCCAATCGCTACCCCACACTGCCTCTCCACCAGGTGAAACAGGAGCCCGTACGCCGCGGGCATGTCGTACCCCACCCCCACCCACGACCCCCCCTGCCTGCTCCCTTGAGCCCCCGCGTCGTCCCTCGCCCCCGGCACTCGTGCCTTGCCCAGGAGGTGATGCCGGCGTTGCTCATCCCAGGAAGGTGGGGCGACGCTCCCCCACAACGACTCCTCTGCTCTTCTTTTCTTCTTCTGAATGGCGCTAGAAGAGGAAG